TCTGAAACAGGCATAGCAGAAAATTGTTGTCAGTGACCTGAATGGCTTCTAATAGGAGCCTGTTGTTTTTGCCTCTGGGTCTTGTGTTTAATACTTGTGTTAAAATAGTAATTCTAAGGGTTGGCAGGAGCTATCAATATCAGAGATGGGTAAATAAGGGATAAATCTGTATTCTATAGTAAGTTGTAGATGAGCAAGCTGTGCACTTGATTATGGGAAAATGTAAAGCTGTTTTTCTAGGAATGGTGCAGGATTCTATTCTGAGAAGCAGCGAAACATCTAGAAAATATTTAGGAGTTAAGTTGCGTTATCATGAGCTTTCTGTATGATTCAGCAGCCAAATTACCCTTGACTGTATAAATAGTGGAAAATTGGATAGGAATAGGCAAATCATATTCCATCTGGATATTGTACTGGTGTGTCTGCAAAGTTCTGTGGCTGTTTTTGGTATCAAAGGCAACAAGAAAAATGCTTAAAAACTGGAGATAGCGCTAAAAAAAAGTGTGAAAATGATGTAAGCATTAGAATAAATGCACTTTATGAACAATAAACAAAACTCTTTGAATCTGGTCTGATGCTCTGATATCTGCCAGAAGGGCAACATGGTGGAACACAATTAATTTGGGACGTTTCTGGAGTGCATTATGATGATATTTTGAAATAGTTGGCTCATCCAGTGCCTAGGAGAGGTGCTTTCCTGGATCTGCTGCTCACAAAGAGCTGGTTGAGGAAGGGATGTGGTCTTGGCTGCAATGACTCTGAGATGTTAGAGCTTAAGATCCCAAGGGATGCAAGCAGAATAAAGACATCAGAATTCAGGACGACAGACTTGAACCTTTCCAGGGAACTGAAAGGCAGGATCCCATGGGAGAACGCCCTCAGGGGTGAATAAGCCCAGGTGAGCTTAGCTGATCTTCCAGGACAACCTCTTGAAATTGGGAAGATGGTGCATCTCGATGTGCAGGAAACCAAGCAGGCATGAGAGATCACCAGCTTTGCTCAACTGCTTAATGGGGAAGTCCTGGTGGAGCTCAAACGTGAAAAAAGGGCTGCGTGCAGGAGAAGGAGGTGTGGGACACCCAGGAGGGATACAGGCAGGCAGAACGCACATTAGGAAAGTTTAGATGGAACTCCAAGGGATTACAGGGCAACAAGAAGGACTTCCATAGGTACGTTGTCAGCAAATGAAGACAAAAGAAAAGGTGGGTTGGCTGCTGGATGAGATAGGCAACTCTGTGACGAAGAACAGAGGAAAAGGCTGAGATATGCAGAGTTTCTTTGCCTCAGTCTTTATTTGCAAGATCTGCTCTAGCTACATGGCGATTTGAGGTGAGAGCTGGTGCCCATGGCCGAGGATTGCATTGGACACCATCGGCAAGTTGGACACGTGTGAGTCTGTGGAAGGGGATGGGTGAGGCAACTCCATCTCACCTGGAGACGTCGTGACGACCAAGAGGTCCCCAGTGACTGGAAGCGTCATGTCTGTCTTCAGGAGAGTAAGAAGGAGACTGCAGGCTAGTAAGACTCACCTTGGTCCTCAAGAATGTTACGGAGCATAGAATCATTGAATCCTAGGATGGTTTGGGTGGGAAGGGACCTTCAGGGTCATCCAGTTCCCCCCCCTGCCATGGGCAGGGACACCTCCCACCAGCCCAGGTTGCTCAAAGCCTCATCCAGCCTGGCCTTGAAGCATGTTTTTGTGGAAGCTGCTTCTGCTTCCATGGTTGGGAAGGTGGCAGGGAGGATTTAGCATGGATTTACCAGGGCAAAAATGTGCGTACCCAACCTGCGAGAAATGGGGGAAACCACCGTGTTCCCAGTGGGCAGTTACCATGAAAGTGGGAGATGGGCAAAGTCAGACTTGAAATAAGTGATCTGCTGTAAATTGTTAAATAAATTGCTGATTAACAATAAAAAAAATGTGACTTGGGACTTGCAAATCAGGCTCAGATTTCAAAGATCTACTTCTTAAAAAATAAAAACCAAAATAATCCAAAAGCTTTCTCTGCTAAAAAGGTGTTAAGCATACATCAGCTTGTCTTTTATTTTTCTCTGCTAGCTGGTAAATATCTTTCTCAGATCCTGACTGTGCTTGAAAATAAGAGATCTTGCCAATTTGATTAAAAAAAAAAAATCAATGTTTGTCTTGATGTAAATCCAGTATTTAGGAGGTAAACTTTTATATAGTATTTCCTGCCCTTTTCAGGTCTCTTGCAACTCACCATTGACTCAGTCAGTGAAGGAGGTGCTGGCCGTGGGTAGGAAAATAAGGAAATTAATGATGGATTTATTTTTAAAAAAATTAAAAGTTAACTTAGTTGTGTAAGGCAGCTTTGTGCTGCATAGTAATGATTGGTACAGCTTGTATGGGTACTATTTGATAGCTTCTTCCATAAAATGACGGGTTATGAAAATCTAGTAAAGCTTTGAATTTGTGTCCCCTTCTGTTGCTCTGTGTTTGGTTTCTTAATTTATAATCTTACAATTTGTGCCTCTCCTCAGTTTAGTGTTAGGTTTCAAATGAGGTAGAATTGGCTCTTTTTGCAGATAGGAAAAATGTTGAATATCCAAATGAGTGTTTGAAAGTTGGGAAGAGGCAGAAGAAAAGTCAGATTTCTCTTTCGTTATTCAGGAAATGATGGAGATGTGTTGCCAGAATCGCCTTCTGCAGAAAGTTGACTGTCTTGCACGTCTTTCTCTTTTCTAATGAGTTGAAAGGAATCTGTAGTCTTTATTAAATATAGACCGCTCGATTCAAGCTTTTGTTTTATGTTACTACAATAGAGTATGAGACTATGCTCTGCTTGCCCCAGGTCTTCAGGACTCTGGGGAGAGCTGGAGGACTGGTGGCTTGGTCGAAAACGTCTCCAAAGGATGGGGATTTCATGAGGCTTGTGACTTTTCTTAGAAATACCATCTTTGTTGCTATATCTTGTTTGGGTTCATCTTTGTTCTGCTCTTCTAGTTGTCATGAAGACGCGCTTCCCTCTTCAGCATAGAGTTGGGTAGGACAGTTTTACCAGCCATACACCGTACGGAAATCTCGTTGGTGCCCTTAGTAGATGTTATAGTTCAGGGTCTGTTTATCTTGGCCATAAATTTCCTAGGAGAGGGGGAATACAATGATTTTTTTTCTCCCCTTGGTATTTCTAGCCATGACAGCAGGTGCTGAATATGAACACGTACCCTCTGGTGTGGTGGGTGGGTTATCCAGTGACTTTTTTTTTCTCCCCTCTCCCTTAGCTAGATTTTTTTTTTTTTTTTTAATTCTTGCAAATCACGTCTTTAAAAAGTCAGCCGTTTCCAGTCTGATGTTAATGAATCACATGTTGGCAGTGTTTTCCCTGCCGTGATAAACAATTGTTCTCTTAGTCTGTCAGATTAGTGAGCCACAAACTCTGAAATGTTTTACGTGTTGGTTTTTTTTCTTTTTCTTTATTTTTTTTTTTTAATGCTTATTTGACAGCCATTACAGTCTATCCTGCAAATATCTTGGTCCTTATATATCTTGGGCTTTAACAGTTTGAAGGGAGTTAATATTTTTATTAAGTCTGAGCCCCTTTGGGTGTTTTGCTGGTTTTTTTTGGGGGGGTTGAGTCTGAATTTTTTGTTGATGGTGGTTTTGGGGGTTTTTTTAGGTCAAATTGGACCTCCATCATGCTGTAAGGTGGGCTCTCGAGCTTTATTTTGATTCGGAAGTTTCCAGCTATCCAGAGCTGGAAATCAGATGATGAATCTTTATAGAATGGCTAATAAAGAGCTGAAGTTAGCCATCCCTGTGATTTGGGTGTGCAGTATTCTTTCAGATATCAGCATAACATCTCTCTCTTACTCAAGGTGTCCTCTTTTCAGCAACATTTAATATTAAGACTGAGATTTTCATCATTTGGGACCATTAAAGAGACTGATATTCCTCTCAAACACTGGCTGTTAATGCTGCCCACATCCTGGTTTGGGAATTATCCAGATTCTCTGCAGTTTCAAATGGTTTCAAAAGAAGAAGTTTGCTTCTTCCTGCTGTAAATCTTTTCTCCTGTGCTGCAGTCCTCTGTTATACAACCACCATCTTCTGCAGGGAAGATGGTCAAGTGAAGTGATTCCTGCATGGAAAGGAATATTATCCTTGCTGGTGATGTTGGAGATAATGTTGATTGATGGTTTCCTTTAGTGAACTTTGGTTCAAGACTGCTTTGGATTCCTTTTTTATTTTCTTTTACTCTCTCGTAGGTCAGTACCTCACCATTTGTCATCAGCGGAGCATTTTTCTATGAACCAGGATAATTAGTCTTTGTTAGACATCCCATGATGAATGGGAGAGGAGGAGGGAAAAAGGTTAACAATGAATTTTGTTTCAGTATTAGACTTCAATGAAGTGGAGAGCATGCCACTTGCTCACAAAGGGAGGTGATTTGTGGAATTTTTCATGGACGGTCTCGTACGTTCTGTTGTGAGAATGCAGCTGGATCTTGTCCCAGTCCCTTCGATTTATCTGTACGCTGTGGGAATAAAAAAAAAAATGTACTGGCTACGCCAAAGTCTCCCTGCCGTGAGGTCCTGTGTATTGTCAGTGTCTGGGCGGGAGTGAGTGCTCAGAGAGCCTTTGGTTTGTCCCCCAGATGGAACACGGCTCTCATTGCCTGCTCTGACTTTCCTTTTTGCCCAGGCTTTGTTGCCAGGTGAGGAGTACTGAAGGCTCAGTCTGATCTGGGAGCATCTTCTTACCAAGTTCTGTTTAAAAAAGCCCCACAAGGCTGCCACAGCCCCGTTCCCTTACATAAAGCAGACCCCAGCCTTGCAATAGTGGGTGTATTTGTGTATCGTCTCGTCCATGCCTTGCAGGGAGGTTGAGGGTTCCCTTGCTGCAGGGGTGTTTGAGGTTTTTAACTTGGATTTTAATTCTGATGGTAACATAGAAACTCTCACCTGGAAGATGTTGGAAACTCATCTGAAGTCCCGTGTGACAAGGTCACAATTTTAACAGAGAATGGGTTTTTCTGCAGGTATTCAGAACGAAGCCTGACAAAATGTGTTGGGATAACAATAGAGACCAGACCCGATTACTGCCTGAAGCGGCATCTGAGTGACATGTTATCCTACGGCTGTACGAGGCTGGAGATCGGGGTGCAGAGCGTGTACGAGGACGTGGCCAGGGACACCAACAGGTGAGAGGAAAGCTTCGGTGCGGAGCTGAGCGCGCCTGCTCGCTGCACGCCCATTTAACGCTGAATGTGGAACCACTGAGCTCCCTTCCTTCCTGTGTGGCCATACATCTGCTAAGAAAAACTACTAAACTTCGGTGGCTTCATGAATTTCTTTGTGATATTGTGTAGAGCATGGCATGAGGAAATGCAATTCTTTGTGATGTTTTATTTCAAACTCATTCTTTTCCTGTATTGTACACCTCTCTTTTTTTTTTCTTATTGCTTCATAAATAAATGCAGCTTCATGAACATGTACCCAGAGAGAGCTCATAGTTCTTGTTCTACGTAATTCATAATCTGTAGGTTTGAGCAGACACAATGCAATATAATCTACTGGAGGCACTTTCCCAGCACATTTCCTACACCAGATACCTTCTGCTGCTGCGTATCCGAGAGGAGAGCTGACACTGGCAAGAGCAGAGGGTGAGACATAGCCAGAAACAACACCCCTTGATAGATTAACTGCAGTCGTTCTAGGCATACAGTATCTCTAGGGATTGCAAAATATATTTTGCAAGAAGCCTGTGATTTATTCCTTGTCATCTTGGACCTGTGGCCAAAAGAACAGTTGTCCTACATAGGAGAGCGCGCAATACGTTGTTCAGCTCACTCCTTACAGGCAAGTAAGCCGATCTCTTTTTTTTTTTTTTTTTTAAATTGCGAGTCTCCTAATTCCATTGAGATTTTTGAAATAAGTTGCTTTTCTCTTTTTTTTTTTTTCACTTCTGACATTCATACAATTTGCCTTCATTTTTAGTACATATTCCAGTCACTTACCAAAGATGTTTAATAACCATAATCACATGTAATGACAGAGAGATTATGGTTCAGTAGGCAAAGCACATTATTGTTAATACCTACCTTAAAGGCTGTAGTGCAAAACTGAAAATGTTGGACGTTTTCTTTTACAGACTTAAAGAAAAAAATCCAAAATGAGCTTCCTCCTGGGGGTTTTGCTGTAGTATTGCCGGTGCATGGAAGCGCAGGGTGTCACTGCCATGAAATGGTCAGGCTCCGGGTCTCAGTAGGCAGGACAAGCCGTTCATTGAGTAGTCCAAGAGTTAAGAGCTAACATTTATAGGTGGTACCTTCCTCCTCTAGATGTCAGAGCTTTCCAAAGGAGAAGATCCATACTAAGGTATGTCGCTAGATCTCACTTTTAGGCTAGATGTAGTCATTTACAGTTAATTCTGACACAGATTGTAAATGTAACCATTTCTCTTCAGCTTTTAAGATCTTCTTTTCACCTCGAATCTTTCAAAGGTGTCCTATCCTGAGGTGGAACTGTGAAACCCCACTCAGCTCTCACTTCAGTCATCTTCAGTTTTCCTCCAGTTTTGTCTGGCACATCAGAGCTGGCACCGTAAATCATTCCAAGCTGTATGTCACTTTTGGCTTGTACGTCTGCTAATGAACCCTTGCTTTCCTGCCGGTGAATCAGAAGAAGGATGAAGTGGTATATTATTGACTTGATTTCACTCAGAAGTAGTTCTGTATAGAATTAGATTTTTCAAGGGCTTTCGAAGCTGCTTGCAGAATTCCTAAAAGGCTTTGCTGCAGGCTGTCTCGGAGCAGGGAAGACGCAGGCTGTTCGCTCAAATATCTCCTTCCAACTTTTTAGAACAATGAATTGGAATAGACTTTTAGAGAAGGGTGATTCAAGTTTCTCTTTCTTTTGAAATGACCTCATTTTGCTTCTGTTCTTCTACTTTGTGGGGGATGTGTTTTGGCTTTAAACTTTTAATATTTTGCTTGTAGCAAAATGTCAGATTACAACCAATTAGGCTAACTGTTTGGAAATTACTTTCTATTATGTTCCATAAGTCATTAGTGAGGTTTTTGAGTGCTTTTGGTGGCTGTGAGGCAGAAAAATATTCAAGAACAGATCTAGGCATCAAATAATCAAGTTATTGATGCAGCTCAAATTCCACTTCTAATAAGAAAATAATTTTTATTTATGAAGCAAGTCTCCATTTACTCCCCTCAGGCTACTGAAGGTCTTGAGTAATACTGTCCTTGAACAGTCTCAGAAAAACACCGTAATGCTTCTGAAAAAAATCATAAATAAAACCATAGTCATAAAACTACATGTGGGGATTTAACGGAGGCAGAATCTTCCAGTAAGAGGTCCTTAGGAGAAGGCTCTTTGGTTTGGTTGACGTTGGGTCTCGGCAGTAGGTGTGCATTTGTAGAGGTGCCCAGATGGTGTTAATTTTTCATCCAAAGGACTGTCGAGGAGAAGAGGAGTCACCTGCTGAGCTAATCCATTGGCAAAGGATTCCAAAAGATGGGGTGAACTGGTGTGAAAGTGTGCTGGGAAGAAGACAAGGATTGGAGAGGAAAGAAGGCAGCAGAAGCTGGGAGGATGGAAATGTCCAGAAGTGTCGGCCAGGAGTGGAAGAGCCCTCCCCGCTGGGGAAGAGCAAAGGGAAGGATTTTGTGGGAAGACTGTTCACAAGTGATGGGGACCTCCTAGGAGCTGTTTGTAGTGATTGCTGTTGCTGTTGTGGAGGCAGAAGGCAGCTCCCTGAGCTGTGGAGATAGAAGGAGAGAGGAGTTTGCTTGAGGCTAATGAGTTCTGTGAGATTCAAGCTTTGTTCCTGCTGTGGTTTGGGCTCCTGCTCTCTCCGAGCTCCTGTGGAGCAAGCCTGAGTTAGTTCGGTTTGATGTTGGTGGAGAAGAACATGAAATCCTCCAAGAGTCCTACTCCAGCCTATGTTTCGGAGGTTTGACATCTCTTAGAAGTTGAGAAGCGTTTATATTTCTCTAAAAGGAGTGCTTGAGAGTTTGGCAAGGGTGGTGCAGGATGATTTTCCAGCTGGTTGGCTTGACTTAGCCCCTGTCCTTCTTTTCTTCTTCTGTTGCTTTTGCTTCTGGTTATGCTTCATTTTGATTATACCCAGTCTTCAGCGCAGTGTGTCCTAGCTTGTGCAGTGCCATCAACTTGGGTCATTGCTTTACAAATGGAATTCCAGCAGCATTCCAGCGTTTCTGTGGCTTGAGTAGCTGGAGCCTTGGTGTGGGTCACCTGCTGTAGAAGCAGCCAACTGGACTAATTTGAACCCCTTTTGTAGACTTGAGTGGTGATAAACTGATAATGAAACTCAACGCTTCTCCCTTCCTAGAGAATAATCTCAATTAAACCTATCAAAATATGTCCTTTTCTGTATGATCCTGAATCTCTTTCCTCTTTTCCCAGAGGTCACACCGTGAAGGCTGTGTGCGAGTCGTTCCACTTAGCCAAGGACGCCGGCTTTAAAGTGGTGGCACACATGATGCCTGATCTTCCAAACATGGGGCTTGAAAGGGACATGGACCAGTTTGTTGTGAGTATGCCTTCGAATAACTGGGAGCTTCTGGTTTGTTCCAGCTTTTCCATCGAATGCTGCCTGTCTTTCTTAGCTCAGCTCTTAGTTACGATCCAGGCCAGAATTGTTTCTTAAGGACAAATAATTTAAAATTCATTTTTGAAGGTGGAGGGTGAGAAAGATTTGTTGAACTACTTCATCCAGAAAATTATATCCTTGCCTCATGAAAGACTGAGTCACTCGCGTCTCTGTGGAATATAGCTCTTCCATTAACTAGGGCTCTTGCTTTTTTTCCCAAGGTGGTTTTCTTTCCTTGGATTTAGAATAGTACGTGATTCAAAGTTAAAAGCATACTAACTTGAAGGTAATTAATTGCAAAGTGGAGTGTATAGGTGTATTGTATAGCAGCTCTGTTCTTGGCTCGGTGCTGTTCAATATCTTTACCAATGATGTGGAAGAAAATATAAAATTATATCTAGACAAATGGAAATGAGAAAAGAGCAAATGGTAAACAGTGTAGGCAATTAAACACTTTATCTGGTAGCATGGTAGATTTTTTTTTTCATTATTTAATTTTTTTTAAGTCAAAATTGGTCATCTTTTTAAAACAATAGAGAAGTTGCTGTCGTGATACAGGAATCACAGGTAGGTTTCCATGCAAGTTCAGACTGCGTGCTTTCTGGCACTTTTTTAAAAGCTATCAATGCGGGGGGGTATATTGATTAGAAGGACAGGCAGACAGCAGTGGTTTGTCGTGGTATGCTGCCAACAGGCATGGCTGGAAAGAAGCGATCGAAAACACAGCTGCACAGTACACAAAGGAAATGCTGAAAACTGTGGTAGGTACTTTCTGCGTGAGGGGTTTTGTGCAGAATTCCTTGAGTTCTTCATAATGTCATAGTACTTGGCAAATATTACGTTCACATGACAAAGTGAGAGGCTGGGGTAAAGTGATGTCCACAAAACTAGAGGTGAACTCTTGGACCTGCTGGAGCGGGGCCAGAGGAGCCACGGAGATGGTCCAAGGCTGGAGCAGCTCCCGTGCGAGGACAGGCTGAGAGAGTTGGGGGTGTGCAGCCTGGAGAAGAGAAGGCTCCGGGGAGACTCGGGAGGTAGGGAGGCACTCTTTATCGGGGGGGTAGTGATAGGACAAGGAGTAATGGGTATAAGCTGAAAGAGGGGAGATGGAGATGAGATGTGAGGAAGAAATGTTTTCCTGTGCGGGGGGTGAGGCAGTGGCCCAGGGTGCCCAGAGAAGCTGTGGATGCCCCATCCCTGGAGGGGTTCAAGGCCAGGCTGGATGAGGCTTTGGGCAACCTGGGCTGGTGGGAGGTGTCCCTGCCCATGGCAGGGGGTGGCACTGGATGGGCTTTAAGGTCCCTTCCACCCAAACCATCCTGGGATTGTATGATTTTAAGTCAGTGAGAGCTGAAAGTTAACTCAAAATTCCTGCCCCAGACTCTATTGCTCCTGGATTACCTTCCGAATAATGCTGAAGGAGGTGGAGTGTGGGCATTTTGTGTTTTCATAGAATTACTTGTGATGCAGGGTACAGCAAGCCTGAGTCCCTTACTCAGTATCTCAGGAAGTTGCAGCTGTAGTTCTGCGTTCTTTATGGGCCTGTGAAGTACTTCATCAGGGAAGTCGTATTAGGCTGGAGAGAATTTGAGGTGGAAGAATGGCAGTCCTGACAGAAAGATTGGAAGAGCTAGCCTTGGGTAAGAGCCAGCGAAGAGGAGACAGTGATCTAAGGTATGTACAAGAAGTAAAACTCAAGGGGGAGGAATTACTTAAGGCAGAATTACAAGCTTCTATAAAAAGTATTTACTGAGTATTATTTTTTTGCTGCTTATTCATGATGAACGGCTACGGCTTGTCCGCTGTTGGATCTGGTGTTGCTGTTGTTTCACTGCAGGAGATTTGGGGAGTCTGTTGAAAGGTATAACTTGGAGTGATGCTGGGCTGCCTCCAGTTTCTGCGGGCCAGCAGGCTCCCCTGCTTGTTAGGGAAGGGTAATGCCCTGCCCTGTGTTTTGTCCATCTTTTAATGGCAATTTTTGCAGAAATAGAAGAGGCAGAAGGCAAAGTTTTCAGAAAGAGGAGACAGTGGGGTGAAAAGGCTGGAATTGTGAGAGGGAGGATTAAAAGAAAGCTGGGAAAATGGTTGAACATAGAAAAACAAGAGAAGAAGACCGAGCAGAAAAAGTCAACTGGTTGAGACTGTTTCTGCCAGAGAAGTCTCTTGGCTTTAGGAGCTGGGAAAACCCGTGTGGATGGTGGGCCAGCCCCAGAACACGGCAGGGAGGAATTTGCACATCGGGATGGGGAAGGATGGGAAAAGGGAGGGTAGATGAGAATGAGGAACAAAGAGAATTAAGAAATCTTTCTACTTAAAAAAGGAAGGGCTAAGGTAAGATGGGACTTTTTTGCTGAAGGGCTGGAATTGTCAAAAAGGCTGGTTGGAGAGCCTGGAAATAGAAATGCAAAGCAGGGGGTTAAGAAAACGGGGTGGTAGTTAAAGAGGGGGAATTCGAGAGTACAGAGAGGGTGGTGGGGTGAAGACCAGCTCAAGTGACGGCCCCGTTAACGAGCTCAGAATTTTGAAGCGGGACTCGCAGATCAAATTAAGATTTGATGCCAGTGAACGTACCGAAGAGGAGTTGGAGGATGAGTAATCGGTGTGGAGGATGAAGCCCTCGAGAAGTAATGTGAGTGCTGCAGAGCGAGGCAGAGAAATGGGAGTTGGAGAGGCAGAGGGTGGGGAAGAGGTGATGGATCACACCACCACGGAGAAGAGCTGTACCTGTGTTGTTTTAAAGGAGGTATGGGAAAGGAGGGAAGAAGGAATCCAAAATGCCCGTGTTAGAAAGCTGCACAGGGTCCCCACCGCGATCTGAGACCAGACAGCACATGAAAATAGAGTTGTGTGAAAGAGGCGGCTGCGGAGTTGGTGCCTGGCTAAGTGATCGCTGCGCGATCGGAGAATGGAGCTGCAGGGAACGGGAGTGGAGAGGTTGTGGATCACTGTGACGTGTTTCAAGATGGAATGGGAAACAAGAGACAGCTATCCTCTTACCTTCTGCCTTTCTCATCCTATCTTAAATGCTTTATAATTTATTTTTAAAAGATCCTGTGTCTTAAATAGCAGAGAATAAAGGGTAAAAACAACCCTCTGGGGTTTTTTTTCCAAAGCTCTGCACTGGTGAACATAATACAGGTATTCAGCAGACAGTAATTCCTTCTTTCCCAGGAATTCGGCTAGACAGTGCATCCTCTATTTCCTACCTTAAAATTTCCTATCAAGCTTTTGCGTTATTTTAATAACTTATTTCTAGGTTGTGATGTATAAATGTTAGTCCATACTGGTAAATATTTAGACACTTTTACTACATAGAAATAATGTGAGAGCAAAGGAGAGCATCTGTTGTGTTCTTGCAGCAGCACCAAGCTGCTCCTGGGCAGCAGTGGTGTTCTTTTGTGCAGTATTCTCCTAGTTCCCAAAAGCATCATCTTCCTATAAGATACTGCTGACTTTTTGGGACAGACACGCCTGTGGCTTATCAAGGATCCGTCTAGATTTTTGATTTTGTAGTAGTTGTAAAGAAGTTTGGAAAAAAATTGATTATTTATTGTGATACTGACTTCCTCCTCCTTTCTAGCCACCCTACTTGTCAGACCAGGGAAAGGTAGGACAAAAAGGAACTAGATGACTTTAGAAGGAGGTCTGAGCACCTTGCCTTCATTACCAGTTGATATATTAAATGCAGGGGCTTCTCCTGGGAAGATAATAACTTGCTGATTGTGCTGACTGCGTGCTAAAAATACTGGGTGCTTCTTCAAATTGAACAGGTAATTATGGTTTCAAGAATAACGTTGCTTCTGTCCCTTCTGACCTATTGATTTTTGAAGAGTTTCCTGCTACTTCCACCCTAGGATGCCCATCAGTTACTCTTTTGCAAACGTACCTAGGTTTTTAAAGTTTTGTGTGTGTGTGTGTATAGCAACTGTTTTTCTGGAGAGTTTATTAATAATTATTCAGAACTTTACTTTATTGATAGGAGTGAGTATATGGTGGTGAGGCCGTGGCCCAGGGTGCCCAGAGCAGCTGTGGATGCCCCATCCCTGGAGGGGTTCAAGGCCAGGCTGGATGAGGCTTTGAGCAACCTGGGCTGGTGGGAGGTGTCCCTGCCCATGGCAGGGGGGTGGGACTCGGTGATCTTGAAGGTCCTTTCCAACCCAAACCATTCTGTGATTCCATATGATTCTATGATTAGCTCTTTTGTTGTATGTATATATTCTTTTTTTCCAGCAAGTGGCATGCTTTTTGCCTGCCTTCATCCTGAAGATCATCACAGTTACTTTTTTTTAAAGAGGGTGGATGTGCTAGTCCTGTGTCCCAGTTCTGTTGTGCTTCCCCACTCCTTCCCCCGTCATGCCTCTTTCCTTCCCTTATTATTGATTCTTTTTATAGCCTCAGAGGGTTTCCTTTCAACCTCAGGTCTTTCCACCCCATTCCACAGATGGGAAAACGCTGCAGGGAGGGAGTACGCTCTGCTTCCTCCCACCACCCGCGTCGTTGTGCCAGAAGCATCAGGTAGTGTCCGTGTACACACACACACACTCCGCGACTTATTGTCGGGAAATGCGAGCGTAACAGATAAGACTGATTCGCAGCGCCTCACGTAGCAGGTGGTCGGAGAAAATAATTAGAATAATAGCTAGAATAAATCACAGACTCAGCGGGAATAATGGAATTGTTACCAGAGCAGACACCTCATTCTGCGGAACGCAATAAACACTCGGCTTTGCTGTTGTAGCACGAGAGAGATGAGGTGACTCTAGGGGTAAATGCTTGGGAGGATTCATGAATCACACTTGCCAACAGGGCTACCAAGCAGAACTTTGGATTTAAGCAAAAACTTTAGGAGGCTAAAGAATTCCCAGGGTGCTGTTACTAATTCCTCGTTCTGTTTCTCCAGAGCCACTGAGTGACAATAGTGTAATCAACAAACTGTATCT